TTCATCGTGGATGGAGAGTACGGACCACTGTTCAGCCCTCCGCACACCTTCGCAGCTCCGAACCCACCCCCCAGTCTAGCCTCGTCTGAGGAGCCTCCTGCTCTGGAACCTGTTTGGGAGGTGGGAAGATTGAGGACCAGCTTGGTCGCTGTTGCGAGTCTTCGAGCACAGGGTGGAGTGGGACCTCAAGTCACCAGCCACGTCTGGGGTCTGCTCAAGGCCGCGTCTAGCTTGAAGAATGCGGAGACGCAGCTAGACAACGAAGAGATTGGCAAGAGGTGGCTGACGACCGAGGAGGGCGCGCTGTGGGTCGTCAGGACAGTCGACGGAGTGAGTGCCCGGAAATTCGCTCTTGAAGGGAGGAGTGCTGATGACTTGTCTCCTCGCTACTTCTTGTCGCAGATTTGCGAGGCAGTCGAAGGGGCAGAAATGATCGAGATTGCTACCCGCGAAAGCAAGCTATGATTCCGGCTGCCTCGATGATGAGTGGGATGACTTTCACGCTCTCCGAACGCCGCTTCAGACGATGGCCTCAAACGAGTAGGGACGTACTTTCTTAGCACCGATCAACGGCACAGCATTGGCCAGCCTTCCCGGCGAGGTTCAGCAGACCACGCACGCGGGGATTGAGAAAGAAGTATCAGCCAGAAAACGAGCGACAGTCTCGGTTGTGAGCGCTTGCACGCCTGACGAGACTCATTGTATTCAACGAGAACTTTGAATGTGCAGGCTGCCTGAATCGCAATGCTGTTTGCACGTCCATTCACTCCATCGTTGCTCAACGCAGTCTGCTTCCGTTTTCAGATGTTCACACGCCTAGCTTGTCCACTCTTCGCCTCTCTGACACACCGTGCTTGCTTGATCCTACACGTTGGTCTGAATCGTGACCAAAGCGCCGTTCGTCTAGGTCAGCTGCGCACTCGAACTCCGAGTACAAGGCTCCGCCCACGCGCACGCTCCGCGAGATGTTGCTGTGGGTGAACCTTGAGGAGGCACATTACCAACGCGACCCGTCTCCGATGTTGCTCTCCGGCTCGCAAGTGACAACGTAATCGAGACCGAATTCTGCTCTGCATGTGGGAAATCAACGTCTTTGCAGTCGATAGGCAATGGAAGGTGAGCTGATCGACGGCCCGTCGATGATCTCAGATCAAGTCAATCTCAAAGCCATTTCACAGACGGTCCGTCCGATAAGATCAGTCGTCATCGAGCAAGGATGCGCGGAATTTCCGAACGATAAGCGTGCTGGTAAAGCTGCAGTGCTGCACGCCTGCACCATCCGGACGTCGCCCAAAAGCGCCGGAACGGGAGTGTGGACGTCGACTGCCGACAAA